ACTTGTGCAAAGTTCTGTGTTGGCCTGGATCTTCTCAAGTTGCACTGTCTCTGTAATAATGAATACAGGCTTGCTTGTGAGTCTAGCAGCTGCCTAACGTTAGGTCAGAAACTTTCCTACATGTGATTGCTGAGTCCAAACTCCTAGGCAAACTTATATGCACATTATCTGAGACCCTTCACAAACTGGTTCTAACCTGCTTTGCTAGTCTCATCTCCTACTATGCACTCCAACCCCCCAATCTCATAAATTCTCAGCTCTTGTCACATTGAACAACTACTTTTTCAAGACTGAACCTTCCCATGAGTCTGTATACTCCTTCTGATTACCCTTAACTTGATAGACTAAGCACCTACTGTGTGTTAAGTTTATGCAAGTCATTGCACAGTGTGATAAGCACTCTAATTCACACACACTGCAATGTACTGTGGGAATTCAGAATGAGGAAAACTTTCTCTTTCAGGGGTTTGGGGGCTAGAAGGAGAAGAGAGAGGAAGAATTCACATAGGGTATAACATCTGATCTGATTCTTAAATGGTTAGGAGTCTGCCTTGAAGGAAGGGGAGGGAAACCTACAAATTGTCTTTGGCTTCTCTATTGCTCCTCCCCTCAAACAAGTCCTGCTGCAGATAATACAGTCAAAAAGTCTGTGAGGAAAATGAGTAAATCAGCCTATTTTTTGCCTTCCACACAACAGACAACCCATATATCTTGAAGTGCTATGTTTTCCACCATTCAGACATCTGGTAAACAGCAGATGGGCCTTGCATTTGCAACAGAGTATCAGTTGTGTGACTAAGGTCACTTAACAGTGTAAGATGGCGAGGCAGGGGAGTTGCCGTTCTGTAATCTGTATTGGAGTCTCTCCTGCTCTGTCCCTGTCTGCCTGCCTGTGTCTTAGAGGACTGCAGAATCTGCAAGAACTGACAGGGAAACTACCAGGCCTGGGATGGTTGCAAGACATAGCCCTTCATGTTGCTTGTTCCTTCTTTCTGTGTCCTGGCCTTACAGATCCCATTTGGGCTATTGCAACAGCTCTGTAGCTGGTCATTCTGCCTCTCATCTTTTCCCATCCCCAATCCATTCTCCCTGCAACTGTCAAAGCAAGCTTTTGAAACCACAGATCTGAAGGTGGCACAGCCCTGTGCAATATCTTCACTAGTTTTCACCACTCACAGTGACGGAACAGCCTTAACTCCTCATAGTGGCATACAAGGCCCATCCAAGGCTAGTCATAGTTTATCTTTCCCATTCCCCCTCTGACAATTCCACTCCTTGAGTCCTCTACAGCAGATTTGCGGGGCTCTGAAATCAACATCACATCCTGTGTGTTTTCTGTCTGTTTTATTCTCTATCCCTGGAATGCTCCAATCCTTTCCCCACCTGGCCCAGCAGGTCCAGCTTGGCCTATTCCAAGAATGAAAAGGGAGCCCAGCTTTGTGGGCTTTCTAGCCCTTGCCCCACCATAGGTTAGGTCTGGCACTTCAGTACTGTGGAATCAGTAAGTGGAGCAAGCATTCCCCTCTAGTCACCACTGAGTGCACGCAGGCTATCTGATTGGGCATCTGAATTAGTTCACGGTTGCCATGCCAATTCTCTATGGATACTACAGCCTGCTTTGAAACCCCAATTCAACTGCCTGGGACCTCAACTACTCTCTTCGTTCATGTAGTCCCTTCATCCAGGAGCTAACTCTGTCCCTTTGTCCCCAGCTTCTAGTATCTAGGCCTCTAAAAAAAAACCCATAAATAGCCATAAAAGTGCCGATACCATGATAGACAGTGTACAGGAATCTCCTGAGACTAAGCCTTTTAGGCCACTCCCCCAATCAGACCCCTTAAGTACTAACTTTAAATGTATCATGCTCAAGAGAAGTTCACAACATCTCTTACATTGCTGTTTGAACTGCTGTCCATTCCCTGGGATGATCAAACCTATTACCACCGAGTTCTTTGTACTACTTCCTTCCTAGTAGAACAGCCTCACTCCTTTCTGGCCCATTGGGAGTTCTAGCATGCCTTAAGGTCATAGTCTTGGGGCTTATGATATGATACCTGACTTTATATATGACAGGATTTTGGAAATACCTTGTTTGAGTCACACCGAAACTCTCTGAGTCACACCAAAGCTCTTTAAAATAGGCAGAGAGGTTACTACCAACCTTTTATTTACAGATGAAGAAACTGAGACACTGAGAGGGTGAGAATGTGTCCAAAGGGATAGAGCTGATAACCAGAGAACCAGGACTCCTAATTTCAGTGCACTCTTGGCAACCCCGGTCACTCAGTACATTGAGTGTTTACTGTTTCTTCCTTATGTTCTTGCAACAGAGACTGGAATAAAGAAATCAGTCCTGAGGATAGTCAGACATCCACCTCACTCAACACTGTTACATTAACTCCTTTCAAGTTTCCTTTGGCCTGTTCCCACCTGGTTTACAGGCCACCAGTACAACTGTCCTCCCTTTGGATTTAATAACTAGTCTGGTAGCATCATTGTTCCACTGATACATACAGGGCAGCAAGAGGCACCAAACTGGCCAGGGATACTGCCCAACGAGTTTACTGGTCACTGTCTGAGTTCTCCACCAGCACACACAATTGCAAGACTACTCAGGCTCAGAGAACAGCAACAATGGGATTTATTTAACAAACCAGGGAAAAACAAAGTTACTGAGGTAAAAAATGACCTTTACCTCATCTGAAGCAGTGTCCAGTGATTTTCAGTCCTAATCAAAAAACAGCTAAAATGGCGTCTTCCCACCACTGAGCATGCAGAGCTGATCTCTCAAACAATAGGCCAGGTGTCCAAGATAGTATCTTCCTGCCTCTGCCAACCTGGAGCAAGCAGCCACCAGACTCTAGGCCAGGTTCCAACTCAGAAAAACAACAGAAGATGCAAAAGGAGACACTCCAGGAGCTTCAGGGATGCCCCCATGCAGCATCAGACAAGTAACACAAAAAAGCTGCTGCAATGGCTGAATGACCCTACAATAAATGGCCACACTCATGCAGCTCAGTGAGGTGCCAGGCTGTAACTGCAGCAAAACTGGGAACAGTTTCAGTCGCTCAACTAATTGCAAATCCTCTGAACTTTTCCTCTCCAAGGTTGACTGCTATGAGTCTCCACACTCAGAGGCCCGCAACAGTCTTCTACAAGATCAGTGGGGAGGGGACCAGAATCCACTGATCCCAAAAGCCAATGCACCCAAAACCTTGAATCCCAAAGACTGAATGAATATCTGTGCCCCTTTCTGCAGTCACTTGTATTTCTTATTTGTCACCTCACCCCAAAATGCAAGACTTTTAAACATTTCCCTTCAGGCTATTCTCACCAGCAAACCCCTCCAGGGGGCACCACCTGAAACAAGTCTTTGGCTTTACACCACCAGTGTCCCCTGGAGAAGAAAACTTTTGGCTTGGAGTTGGAAACTCCTTCCAAGGAGAATTGGTAGAATCTTGAGAATACAAACTAGACTTCTGAGGTGATGATGAATTTAGCATCTCTCCAAGTGAGCAGGGTACAGGGTACCATTGTAGAGGCAGGGTGAACTTTTATTTTATTTATATGTATTTTATATCATTCTTCATTTTTGTACAATGTATGCTTTCTCTTCTCTAGGTATAGTCCCTGTAAAATTCCCACCACCAATTTACAGGGTGGAATTTTAAAAAGATCTTTCTCTGGATGGCCCTTTAAAAGGGTCAGGGAGAAGATGGGCTGTATTTGTTGTTGGTGGGGGATGGACTTCAAATAAGAAAAGGAGTATCTCTCACCATCAGCGGGTGAGGACCGCTCCTCTGATAGATTGTGATGAGTTATGTTTCTAAAGAGGAAGAAAATTTCTTGCAGGAAAGGAGTCTCTTTTGAGAGGAGGGGAAGTTCTCTAAGGGATTGCTGAATGGGGGATGAGGAGAAATACTTGCTCTCTCCTTTTTTTCTCCTAACGGAAAAACCTTCCTTGAATGAGGGAAACTTCCATGCTTTTTGTGGGAAGGAAAAACACTTTTCTGGAAAGCAAAGGTTGTTTCTAGAGGACAATTATGATGAGATTATGCCTTTCTCTTTTTTTTTGTCCTGATCTGCTCCCCATGAGGAATCAGCATGCTCTGGGAAAGCATGGAATACTTTTTATTTGACCAGGTAGGAAAGCTGAGGAGAGAAACTTGCTGTGGCTGTGTGGGGGGAAAGTTTTGCTCTGAGGATTGTTGGCAGGGAAGGTGACTCTGTGTTGGGGAACCCCCAATGATGCTGAGGAAGGCTGAGGTATCCCAGTAGTGGATTGGTAAAGGAGCAGGGAGGTGTGCTAGGGCCAGCCCTGGTTTACTCAAGAGGAAAAGGAGGCTTGGGGAAAGGAATGCTAATAAGTGACAGCTTTGTCAGTTTCCAATCCTGGAGTTTACTCCCCCTCCGCCCCGCCCCCCATAGCTGATAGGAGGCCATCAGTCTACCTGCTGTGAAGCTGGCGAGGAAACTGCCACTATGAAATGTTTGATCTGTGCTGGAGACAGGTCTGGGGGCTGGGGGAAAGCATTGATTCATGAGGGAAGGAAACCAGACAGGAAGATAGGATTAGGGGCTACATCTGGAGAAAAGGGAGGTCAGAGGTATTTGCAATCCTGAACTGCTGTTTTTGGGCAGCAGTTTCAATGCATGCCAAATTTCAAGGAAGGGGAGTACTTCACCCAGTAGGACCGAGGAGGGGGCCCTTGCCAAGGAAATGTGTGCTGCCCTCTGGGAGCTGCCAAATATCTCTATCCTTTCCTCTTTCTGCAGAGCAAGTGGACACTCTTTGATCTCTGTAATAGCAGAGGTAAGGGATCCAAGGTAACTTTCTGAGGTAATGTCAGTGTTCTATAATACATTGTAGCCATGTTTAGAAAAGTGCACACATGCTTACCAAAAGCTCAATAAACTGTATCCTTGAAAAAAACAAAATCAGAAGTGGATCTATGAATTAGATGACAGTCAATATATTATTTAAAAAGGGAGGGATCCCCCAATCCAAAACCCCACAAAGGAAACAACAGGTGAGAAAAGCTGCCCCGGAAGGCAGCAGTTCCTCATTTGCAGCTTTGGCTACTCAGATTGCTATTTCTTTTGCCCAGTCTTTTCTTGATCAGCAAAAAGCGAAGGCCATCTCCTCCAGGAGGAGGTCAGAGGTTGCAGGAGAAAGAACTTGACAAACACACAAGCCATCTCCTCCTTTACTGTAAAATCCTGTTTAATGTGTAACATTCCAGGCAGTGAGAGGCCTTGGGGACTAGAGGCAAAGGCAGCCCTGACCCACCCCACTCCAATTTATCTGCCTGCTGCTCCCTCCCTAACTCCCCCACCCCACACAGATCCTCCCTTCCCTTGTTTTGGGTAAACTCTTGGGTAAACTCGATTCCTCCCTTTCTGGATCAGACACCCTCCCCTTTCCACCCACAAGTCCACAGCACCCTCCCATGACTCCACTTGCCCACATCCATCCCCCGATGTGACACCAGAAACAGGGTATCTGACAACATGGGGTTAACATTAGTTTTATAGTTGGAGATGCTGTCTGAACAGCCCCTCTCTTGTCCCCAGTGGTCCCTGGGAGAAGGAGGAGAGGAGAGGAGAGGGTACAGGGAACAAGGGCTGCCCACACCCCCAACAACCTTGAGCGCTGGTGTGGGTGGCCTCTAGCCTAGCACCCCTTCAACCCCTGAGGCAGAGCCCTGGGAGGAAGGGAAGCAGGGCTAGAAGGAAGGTTTGGTCAGAGTAACTCCTAGCAGGCAGAGGCCTGTGCAACCAGCAGGGCAGGAGGAGGGGCAGGCTCAGGGCAGGGCTGGGGGAGGGAGGGAGGGTTGCCTGGTAGGTGGCATCAGCAGGCTGAGCAACGGTCACTCTTCTCAGCCAGCCCGGCCCCGGAGCCAGGGCTGCGACGCAGTATGTCCTTCAGGGAGCCATCCTGCTCGCTCAGCAGCTTGTTGATCTCATTCTGCTTGTATTCAGGTGAGAGGCGGTGGCCAAAGCCCGAACCCTTGCGGGAGGGCGGATTGGAGCGGCGCTGGGCTCGGCGGGCACAGGCCCGGATGATGAGGTACACCACCTCCGCCACGTTGAGGATGATGCAGATGCCGGAGGTGGCCAGCATAAAGACTGTGAAGACGGTTTTCTCGGTGGGGCGGGACACGAAGCAGTCCACTGTGTTGGGGCAAGGGTAGGCCTCGCACTTGACCAGCCGCACCATGGCGTAGCCAGGGTACAAAAGATAAAAGACGTACATGAAGACGGCCTCGAACAGCAGCCGAAAGACCACACTGATGACATAGGTCCACCACAGTCTCCCTGAGATGTGGACCTTGTGCCTCTTCACCTCCTCCAGTTGGAGAGGGTCCACGTGGCCTTCAAGTCGCAGCATTTTCTTTTCTATGTGCTGCTGGTGAGCCACATGCATGGCCACGAGGAGAGCTGGGGTGGAAACCAAGATGAGCTGCAGAGACCACAGGCGCACATGGGAAATGGGGAAAAAGTGGTCATAGCAGACGCTGTTGCAGCCTGGCTGGAGGGTGTTGCAGATGAAGGAAGACTTCTCATCCCCCCACACACTCTCAGCAGCCACCACCAGCACCATGATTCTGAAGATGAAGATGACTGAGAGCCAGACCCGTCCAATGGCAGTAGAATGCCGGTTTACGCCACTGAGCAAGGTGTACAGACCTGTCCAGTTCATCCTGCCTCATTCACACCTGCAAAACAGGAGGCACAAAGCAAGCTGTCAGGAAGCTGGGGCAGAGAGCCAAGCACCATAACACTGCCTTTCAACCCCCCC